AGAGTAGATAGACATAAAGACCCAGAGTAGAGGTAAATAGCAGACTGACAGCCTACACTCACTACAGACGAACGGCTGGAAAAGTTGCTTGTCCTACAGCGGCCACCATAGCTAGGATTATCCATTAGAAATGTGGGGGGTTGGGATGTGATGTAAGAATTCAATGAACTGCGATCAGCAATCTACTGACATCTAGTGGTGACATTTTACACACTGTACCTTTAAAGGTAACTGTAACCCCATCAAACTCATTTTTGGCAATAGCTCAGTATTCCCCCTCTTCCACAAGTACCTACTCGGTGTGATTTTGGTCGTTTTGCCTAATCAGCTAATATGCTTGGGGTCATTGTAGCAACGAGGGATTTGAATGCGACAAGAAAGCCACAACAAAGGTCGACGTCGAGACGATGGTATACCTGCTGCCCGATGTCTGGCTTTTTGTCACACTCAGCGACCACGGTGTTTTTTTGCCTCGTTGTTGGTTTTTAAACATGCTGGTTTTGATTTTCGAGAAGGAGACACTCTCATGAGCCAACTGGTGACAGGCAGTCTGCTGACGTCACGATTTTGGATAGCCTCGGATCGCTTGGAACTCCAACTGAGTAGGTACTAAAAAAGTACTTCTAACAGACACTACCACCTAGTAAAAAACCCTAAAAATGGAGTCAAACCAGCCTAACCACATTAGGTACTGGTGGACAAGGACTATATGTGTTAGTAATACTTTATATCAATGAGCTCAAAGCTTTGCTTCACTGGGACATGATAAACAATTTTCTGGTTGTTATTAAACAGCATAGCAGATGATGGGATTTCACGCCCTATGCCGATATTTTTGAGTGAGAACCTTGAAACTGGATTGATGTGTGCTCCCCTGGTCCCAAAACAATAAGGGCATTATGGATAACTTTCTACATCTGCATCAAATCTGTATAATTTAGGGTTGAAATGATTTGCAAATGATTGTACAGAATGTCTGAACCTTTGGAGATATTCATGTGCCAAGCCAAAGGATCTAGTGTGTCTTTCTAACTCCTATAAATCTTTTCCAAGTCTGTAGTACATATAGCAAGAAAGTTTCAGCAGACATGGTTTCAAATCTGCAACCTGACTGATCTCCAAAGGTTCCCAAAAGCAAGGCTAATTTGAGCTTTGACACAGCAGGAAACCCCATGTTCTGGAGCAAAAACAAAACAGAATTAAAATCAGTTTTATAAACTGCAACCAAAGTATTGTTTTGGGCGGAGGTTCAGAGGGGTGGGGGTGTAGAGAAGGGAAACGGGACATTTACAGACAGCAGACTGGTGTGATGGAGCTGGGGCTGTTTGGAGCTGCTGGAGACATCAGCGCTGATTACAATGAAGACAAGAAAACGTCGCCTCTGGTAGACTCTGGGGATAACAGGCTGCTTACTTTGCTCCACGCGCTGCTACAGTTTTCTGTCTGAATTCTTTGTTATGTGGAGCAACCCTCAAGCTGTGACACGTTCGAGTCGGTGCCAGGGCTCACGCCATGAAATGTGCCATCTCCAAAACGGCAGGAGTTTACAGCGGTGAACAAGAGCTAAATAATAAAAAAAAAACTATACCAAGGGAAGCTTTTATTTTTTTAGAAGTCACACACCCACACATATACACCACTGATCAAACTGGGAACAGAATGCTTTAAGTTGTGACAAGGCCACATTATCAATGATCCATAGGCGACATAGATGCAAACATACAGGAACTGGAAAATGGGTCAAATGGACCCTGAGAGAGAACAAGAGCATGTTAGCAAAACCACAGACAGCTCCAGAGCCACTCAATATGTCTTTCTTCTCTGCCCTCTCCACACGAGATGGAGATGAGAGAAAGGGTGGTGGTGAAAGAGGGAGAGAGATGGAACGAGAGATTGGCGTTAAAGAGGTGTAAAAGCCCCAGAGAGCGGCTGAGGTTCCAGCTCATCTGCATTTCTAATGAAGAGGGGGAGTGAAAGAGGGATCGGTGTGATGAGGAGAAATTAAGAGAAAGGGATGGAGAAGTGGTTAAAACAGCAGCAGCAGAGAGAGATGGGTGACAAATAGAGGAAAAAGTACAAACAGATGAATCCCATACGGCTAACAAGCCGATTGGAGACACACAAAGAACAACATGGAGGGAAGAGGGAGAGATATAGCCGTGGTCTAATGTTGAATTATAAAACATTTATTCTGCTAGAAGTTTTTATAGTTGCCTTTTTGGTTGTTTTTTTTTTTAAACCATGTTTTTGGGAGCACAGAAAAATCTGATTGATGGCTTGCCCACAGACGGAAAAGAAAACTAAATTGGCCCACATTTGTCACAAAGCTCGTAGCGGGAACGCTGATCACGACCACATCAGATCATCTGGAAAAAATTCAGCAGCCATTTAAAAGAAAGAGGGTAAATGTGGGCCAGCCAGGGACAACTGCAGGAAGTGTTGGCTTATTCATACACAATAAATCATCTCCAGCATGCAGCAACAGACGATACAAACACTGAAATGTGAGCAGCTTTAGGAAGAGGCACTCGCTGATCAAGAAGGTGGTTCTCAGTTGGGTTACTCATCCAGTACTGTACTAAAGTCTCTGGTCAAGCAGCCAGACTTTGTTGTTATTATTGAAAAATGATCTTGAGCAATAGTTTCTGAGGCTTTCTGAAGGTTTTCTTGGAAACTGGCTGATTTTTCACTCATTTTCAATGCGGTCCCTCTATCCGACCATTTTCAGAAGCGCTGCCAATGCAGTGAACGCAAACTTGGATAGAAAAACACACATTGGAACACCATCAGTCATGGATTGGCCTCCACAGAGCCTGGATCTCGACATTATTGGAGCAGTGTGGGATCATGTTGACGGAGAACAGAACAAAAGGCACAAACATCCAAAGAGCTTTGAATGTCCCTCAAGAAGCCAGGAGAACTATTCCTGAAGACTACTTAAATAAAGCTGCCGGCGAGAGTTCAGACTGTGCAGAAGAATAAAGGTGGTCACACCAAATATTGACCGACTCCGTTTGTGCCTTACATACTGTATTTCCATGTATGTTTACATATTTCAACAAATTCCTCCCATTTCCTTGGCAAAACATACAAGTATGTATCATAAACATAATCTATATCCAGATACCATAAGAAGAAGGGCACAAAACTTTTGCACAGTACCATATTTATGAATTAATAGCTTGTAATGGCAAACTCACTTCTTAGATGAATATTTAATTGAATGGTGGGAAACGGGGGACTGTAACTGACAACATGGTCGATTTTCCATTTGACAGACTGTGAGTCACTGTAGTGTCGTTTACAGGTGAGCCGCTCATGCTCTGCTTGTGTCCGAGTTTCAGACACACAGAAACAACCATATTTTGCTAGTATACACCCAACACTGCATCTGATTGGCAGTGACCCAGACTTTTTCTCTTTTTTTGTCTAGCCAGTGACAGAAAATGTATCCAATGCCGATGTGCCAAAACCGTAGGTTTAATGGCCACTTAAGACTGCTTCCAACAAATAGCTGATCATCCAGACTCCCAGGTTAAAATGCCATTTTTCCAGCATTAAAAACCGTTTTGGCTCCAATGGATAGTTCCCCCCCTCCTTCGTAAACAACTTTAGTTGGGGTTAAACCTTAAAATAGTCATGATAGTCATGTCTGTGCTCATAAAGAGCTGGAGTGAAGACAAGGGTAACCTAGGTGACAGATGGAACTGACCAATACCGAAATCATCCTCATGAAGCACCACACAATAAAATGAGACGATACAGAAACAACTGTCAGAATGAATACATCTTACAAATCTGTTTATTAAAAAACATCATCATGAGTCATCATACTAATTGCAATAAAATGACAAAATAAAAAGACACTGGGGAGGTCTTGCAGTGATGTAATCACATGATCAGGGATGTGTACTGATGCTACTTTTCTTGTTTAGGTCTTGTTCACTGGCACAGAGCGATATTGTTTACCTGTGAATGTGTAGGTGTGTGTATGTTAATGATAGTGGAAGAACCTGTTCTGAATACTGCACCAGTATAATCATGGAGAGGATTTAAGGAACCACACTGGAAGTTTCTGAAATAACCAGCCTCCTTAAGCCAAGCCAAAACACTCACCAGTGTTTTTCTAATTCCGGGAAGATGCATGTGGAAATGATGCAGACCACTGGTTTCGGTTTCAGTTAAAAGAAAAAATGTGATATGAAAACATTAACTCAGAAACACGGTGATGGGCATCTGTTTATTGTGACTGGATAATGGCGCCGCACTGGCTGCCTGAGTTAACAGTGTTTTAGTTCTGATTAAGAGTGAATAATAGAAGTTTAGCTTTCTGGGAGCTGTGACCCGACTACAGCCTCATATTGCTCGTAAAGTTGCTTAAAACTCTCTTTAAAACACATCAAACAAAGCCTGATTCAACCCCAGCCAGTTCAGGAGAAAACCGGCTGGCACATCATGCTAAAAACCCAACAGGCCCACTTGGATCCTGCTGGGTTTGGACACAAACTTCCTCATTTTCTGTGTGTGTGGTTGCTTCAAGTATGTGTGTGTTCCCACAGCAGTCGGCACGACACACCCGTCGTTGCAAGTTCATTCACTTGCGATAAAAACTAAACAGAGACTAAACAGATGTCAGCTGATGCGAGTTGGACACAGCTAACTTTGCCAGTTGGCTGATTATTGCAGATTATTGCAAGTTTCTTTTTGTTGTTGTTTATAGAAATACATTTTAGAGTTTTATCAAGCAGGTGCAAGGAAAACAGCAGGACTGTTGAAAAACCAGAACCTAAACATATCAAAGGAAAAATAATGCACGCGTTGGTTGTTGACACGTCTTGAACAACTGGAAGTTTACTGGTCTGTTTTTTAGCTACACTGTAGCTTCTTCATGGTGTGTAAAGGAACCACAAACAGCATAAAACATGGATGTAGCTGTTAGCTGTCTGTTTGGAAAAAGTGCCTTAAACCTGCATTCTATCTGAAGGCCACCAGATGGCGATAGATGTAGCAGCAAAATTGATTAATTAAAATTTAAAAATTATATTTTGTAACTTCTGGTCATGCTGTGTTTCATGGAACATTATCTGTGGAATGAACCACACGTCTCTTAGCTAATAAGTTGCCACTCCCAAGTTGTTAGCCAATAACGGTACAGGTTCACAGTTGGCCCCACCCTTCTTTGTCTCAACTATTTCTTCTTTTTTTTTTTTTTTTTTGCAATGAACACAGCAACAGTGGAAATGCTCATCTCAAGGCTTCAAAATGGTATTCCAGAAACCAGTGGATGACATCATAGTAGCTACGTCCATCTTTTATATTGTTTGTGAGGAGAACTGCTATCCTAGCTAAACCAAAAGTGACATAAAATGCTTAGCAACAATATCAGAGTCTCATTTATGTTGGTTATGCAAAATGGTTGGAAATGTTAAATATAGAGGGAAGAGTAAGTTCTTTCAGAGCAAACTGCTTCACTTCTGAACAAGCTAGGCTAGCATTTCCCCTCCTTTAGCCTTTATGCTAAGCTAACCAAGCTAAGCACGTTTCCCAAGTTATTCGACTATTCCTTTTATACCCAAAGCTAAGAAACATGCATCACTTTATTGAAAACTTCAAACCACGGAAGAAACCAAGTTCCTTACGTCACCCAAACTATTTTTGTCATTTTGTTCACAGTACGAACAAACTTGAGTCTGCCATAGCGAGGTGACAGCTAGCTTTTCAAATCTAGATGTAGGAAGCTTTGATGTGATCAAAATGTAACCGTGGGGGAGAAAAAAACCAAAAAAACCAAAAACAAATGCCTTGTGTTGCTCATGAATGACATCATACTGTTATTACAAAACAGTACATGCAACTCTTTGTCTCACATACTGTAGCACAGCACTCACACAGTGTACGAAACACACACAAGACCCGGGCAAAAATAACAGCTGGATACATTTTTGAATATTTATAAAAGAAGAGTGCTTGCTGTTGCCGCTCTGAGCAGCAGTTCAAGTGTTGATGTGGCAATACGAACCAAGCACGCCTCCATTAGTTCAAAATATTGGCACCATGTACAGTATATCTCACACACAAACACACTGCATATCTCTGTGTAAAGCTTAAAAATGTCTCATTTTTTTAAATCTCTGAATTTTCAAAAAACTAGAGTTGAGAATAAAGGTAAATATAGTCCAGGTGTTAAGGTGGGAATACTTTGGGGTGGTAGCGCAATGCCAGAACACCTTCAGCAGATGTTTCCCATGTGACTTAAGTAGGGATATATTATGTCTTTTAACCTTGTGCAGATTCATATTAAGTAATGGCACTCCAGTCTCGCCAACCCCAAAGAACCCATGAATTTTACGTGCTTCCCCAAAAAGAGATTATAGTGGGATTCACTGGTACGTTGCTTACTGGTTGCCTTGGCATCAGGATAAGTAAAAAAAAGAAAACCTAAAAAAGCATTTAGTCAGGCCTGAGCACTTCATTTGTTATCCCTAGTGGTTATAGAGGCAGCAGATCTGTTTACTGATCCCTTATTCCCAAGTGGCAGTGATGTCTCAGAAGTCTCCTGTTCCTCGGATATTAAGCTCTGGATCCCTCAGAGCTTCTTGTACGGCGGTGGTGTTGGCAGGGCACAAATTTATCTGCATAAAATTCTCTAGAAGTGCCACAAGATTTCTTCATAGAAACAGAAGTCTGAAAGGCTATTTTTTCCCCATTGGTGAGCGTGAAAGTCCCCTGCTCCTACACTGCAGAGTTGAAAAAAACAACAGTCCTGAGCACCTTTTAAAGCACTGCGAAAATGCGTTTTAATCCCAACGCCCGTCGCCCGGGAACAACTGGGTGTCCCAGAAATCGTCTATGGGCGTGTGTCTGTTATGCGTGTGGTGCTTCCTGTGAGCGCTGCAGTGTGAGGGCGCGGGGGAAAGTGTTTGTCAGTCCATCTCCAGGTCCATGAGTTTGTTGCGTGAGCGTGGAAGGTGTGCAGTGTTGCGGCAGCAGCACTGGGCGCAAACCAGACCCAGGACCAGAGAGAAGAGGCCGACACCTGGAAAAACCAGAACAGGCACCATGTTACCGACACCAATAAAACCATTCCAATCCAACGATTCTTAATGCTACCATTTCTATCGATGAAATTATTCATGAGTACCATTTTAACTAGTAATACAATAAAAGCGAATAACTTTAGCAACCTTCTAAAAACAGTGTCTTTAATGTTTTGGCCCTGTTCAGTGGCTAATATTAGTCTTCACACACTTCAAATTTACAGAAGAATAAGGTACTTTTGGTTGCTCCTTTATTTCACAAGGTACTGACTGATTTGCTACACATTTTATACCCTTTGTAAGTCCTTCCAGACACAGACTTCCCATTTTATCCAGGATTGAGTTTGGCCATTGAACAGGGACCTTTTGCATGCAAGCTGAATGCGTTAACCACTAAACCACAGCCCTGTACAAATCTGACAAAAGAATTTCTTGGCCAGTGCTGGGAAAAGGGACCGACTTCCGGAGGTAGAGAGCACATGACAGATAGCTTTAACTCTGATTAAGGTCTCATTACTCCAATCTTCTCTTGTCTGTTTAAGGCACTGGTTCAAGCGCCTAAAAGTTGACATGCAGGGATTCCCTCGTCTCCAGCTCATGTGGCACCGAGAAGACTACGGCTACGTCAGGACTACAATCACTTCTGTGGCAAAGCTGCTGCTAGCATTGCTGCAACAATCACTAATAAAAACACAGATTTTTATGTGAACAGCAAACACATCCTTGCTTTCCAAAATCCCCATCAGTGCTAATTAAGGCAAATTAAATTGTACTCTACTGACTATTTTGATTAAACTCTTGTCCGCAGTGCACGGACAACGCCAGCTATCAGAAATGTGTCCTAAATAGAGACGAACACCGTCAGCAAGCGAAGTGCAGTGCAGCACAAAAGAAAACACAAAAGAGTCTGTCGGCCAGCACTTTTAGCAAGGACGCCCTCGCTGACAGCAAGCATCAGTGAGCCGAGCTTTTCTCACTTTCCAGAGACATTTTTCTGCTGCGCTTGGCTACATTTAACATTTTCTTCATGCTAAGTCAACATTTTAGTTAGCCCTCTTTCAGAATCAGACAACAACAGCTTGTCATTCAGCACTGCAACAGCAACACAACACACTTTCATAAATGTCTACACACAATCCTATACACATAACACAAGAGGACGCTTTATAGAACAGTACAGGAGAACAAGGAAACCAGAAAGCTGTGATGTACTGTTTAGGTGCACAGCTAGTCAGCTGTCAAAGTCGAAGAAATACCGAATTGCACTCAGGAGTTGGTGATTTCTGCGTTTTTCCTCGTTTTCTGGCATAAACATACGGTCACAATAGTGGTTACTCATACTCAACACAAGCAAAGTGAAGAAGTAATTCCCATGGGCTAAAAGGCCAGGCTTTAGACTGGTCTAAACATTTTTTTCTACTTTTGGCTCTCAATGATATCATAGAGAGTCGCCTTCTGTTTGCAAAGGGTAGCCAATCAGAAGAAGGTTATTTTAAAAGAAGGCCAAATGTCACTAAAACACCTTGCTTTAGAGAGGATAGATTGAGGCGCTGCACCACCAAATACATAGGTGGTGGTGGTCAGAGGGCCCGGTGGCGCCAGTGTCCGGCAGCCTCGCCTCTGTCAGTGCGCCCCAGGGTGGCTGTGACTACATTGTAGCTTGCCATCACCAGTGTGTGAATGTGTGTGTGAATGGGTGGATGACAGGTTGTGTAAAGCGCTTTGGGGTCCTTAGGGACTAGAAAAGCGCTATACAAATACAGGCCATTTACCATTTACCATAAGGATTATTTTCTACTGTGAATCAAAGCTTCTCTGCTTGAGTCACAAATTTAAAAAAAAGTTTCCAGTGCTACCCCTCAGCTTTCTAGAAGATTTAGTGACCTCCCAGGTCTTGAGATCATCTTGAGGTCAAGGTCACTGGGACTCAAACTCGTCCGAGCTTTTTAAGAGATGCATCTATGGTATCAATTTGAATATCCTACGTCGCCTCATTATCGAATCGCACTAACTTGGGTGTCCGCGTTGCCTGTGACCTGACAACAATACCCCGTCAGCCTTTTGCGGCCGAGCGGTAAAAAGTACAAGTTCACTTAGAGGACTTGGAGATAATCAGGCATTACTGTGGAAAAATGAATCCATAATTAAATCTTAAATCCCTAAAAATATGTCATCTAGATGAAAGAAAAGGATATAGACAATTAAAGATTGCCTAAAGCAAAGTCTCTGAAGTACAACAAACATATAATGACTATATTACCCAGTGAGGCCGATGCACCATATAAGAGAGGTAACTTTAGGGAGTCCCAAACTGCAGAAGGAGAGAGGAAACAAGAGAATTGGTGTTACGTATAACAAAATAATGTACATATATCATAGACTTTTATGTTTCAATGTGTTCATGTTATAATGTAACTGCGTGTCTTTTGCACCACACCTGCAAATTTGACAGCGAGGAAGACTTTGGATGATGTCAGCTCTTGAGCTTCTGTCCAGGCTCCCGTTGAGGCCGACAGGTACCAGGGAGTGACTGAGCAGAAATACTCCCCGCTGTCACTGGAAACCACAGAGGACACAGGCTGTTGTGATGACGGTCATGGTGCTGTGCAAGTCTCTCAGCCAAAAAGGGATTAAACAGACAAATCATTCGTTTGCACCTCACCTGTCCTGAGTGCCAAATATGTTGAGCAGGTAGGTGTGTGTGTCTTTGCGCTCTATTGTAACGTCACTGGATGAATTACGGTTGATTTTTCTCACAACGCCAAAGCGGTCAACGCTGGCCACCTGGACCGACGCGGGTCCGCCGCGCAGCCGGGTGAAAAACCATTTCACCTCGTACGCCAGGTCGTCTGAGAGACACACAGAGACAAATTTAAGTGAAGCTGTGATGGACTTTTAAGATGTTTAGATGATTTTAACTAATAGACATCAATATATACGTTTTTTAGTATCTAAATAGTCTTGATGCATTCTCAATCATCCAAGTAAATCCCAAAAGGTTGATTCTGTTCATCTGGACGCAGCGTTTTCAGAAAAAGCTGCGTCCAGATGAACAGAATCAACCTTTTGGGATTTTAAATAGTTGAAGATACAAAATACGAACTTAAGGATAAAACCAGGTTCAAAGATCTTCGTTTTCTGGCATATTAGATCCAAAAGTTCTGTGCATTGTGTGTAAATATATTCAAAATACAGACAGAAGAAAATATACAAATTAGATATTAACTAATCATTCATACATATATTAGGAATGTGCAGTGCATCCATTGGACATACGTATATATGTCCAATGGGAAATGAATTGTCAAATAAAAACCAAAATGTGTTTTTTAACCATTTTATTTCCATGAAACTTGAAGGAGATAATGTGGAAATAAATATGCTTTTGCCTGTAGATTCTGACATTCAATAACTGCACTATTAGCTAAGTGTTGAAGCTCTGAACACCTTTAAAACCATTTTCTTAACCTATGCTGAAATTTGTGTAACTCGTTTGGTCTGTTTAGATGGGACACAGCTGGACTGCCAAACAAGGCTAAGCCCACTATGGACACACTTTGTACAACCTGAACACAGATCAGTATTATACAGGTTTTCTTTGGTGGTAATGTCTCAGTGAGTGCTTCCATTCAATACAAACCTGAGCGTTTATTTAACAATATCCGCACGTCGTGTTAACGTGCTTATACCAACCAATCCCATCGTCTCTCAAATACCTTCAACCTGAACATTACAAACTACAAAAGAAAGCTCAAAGGCAAAATACTGTATGTGCCAGTTAATAAAGAACATTAGAAGTGCCATTAAAAGATAGCGTTACTGCAGCGATGTGACACATTTGAAGCCAGTAAGAGATCAAGCGCAAACCAACGAGCTGTTTAGGAGAACAAAGTCGCTTTATTTGACAGAAGAGTCAGAGAAGGCACGGCAGCTGAAGTGTGTGTTACTGCCGCTGATCACGACACCCCAGCTCAGTTTTAAGTATTTCTTTAAGCCTTTAAGTCACTAACACTGGCTAACATCGACTTTAACCAGCCTAACACTTACAGAGAAGCGCTACTGTACCGACTTCATTGTAGAAACTGAGTGTTTTCTGAGGTCCAGCACAGCCCTAATTTCACTACGATAACAAACAGAAGAGAGGAGGAAATCTAGAAAGCAGAATAAATCCATTATCACCACATTATAAACGCCGGCGTTCCTTTTCCCACATTAAGATAAAAAGACAGGGAGACGGACACGCATCATAAAAGGGCGACAGCGATGACAAAAGAAATAAAAACGGGGACGAGAGTTTGATAGAATTCGTGATAATAGATGCAATCTTTGGAAAAGGGGGCGAGCGAGCTAATTATTTCAGAGAGAGCGAGAGAGCGAGGGAGAGGGGGAGAGAAGGGGAGAGAAGGGGAGAGAGAGGGAGCGAGCGTGAGAGACAGAAGCACAAACTAGTCATTAGTCTGTCAGAGAGAGAGAGAGCGAGCGAGACTATTAGCACTCTACCTCCCACACACACACACACACACACACACACACACACACACACACACACACACACACACACACACA